TGTGTGTATGTGTGTGTAGTTGTGTGTAATGCTTAAAAGAAAAACTAAAACAATTAGTGTATAGTTACAAAATTAGGAAACAGAATTTCTTTGTTAGCTTCATAATTTTATAAACCCAGAAGATTTTCAAATGGCAGGGCATGTCTCAAAAGCAGACCATGGAGGAGCACTAAATTAGTTGTACCAACCAACCAGTGATAGCAGTGAAATCAACGGATAGTATAGTGTACTCATAGAAAAAAAAACCTGTTATATCATGGTTTGGGATGTTTTCTTTCTGCAATATCTTAGTAGGGTGTTACTTTCTAAGAAAAGTTATTTAACATTTTATGAAAACCTGGCACCTTTAAGATGGTGTGAAAACTCAGAACCACTAACAAGTTTTAAATACTTGATACCAGGGTGAAACTTTTAGGAGTTATTGGGCATGTCTACATGTGCATTTAGGCCAGCTTACATTTACTGCATGGTAAATTACTGCACACTAAGTGGGAATAGGCAAGGCATCTACATGTGCAGGTCAGAGCAGCCTGCCATGGGCCCCTGTGGCTACCAGGGGAGCTCCAGCCTCTGGTCAGATGGCTACCAGCACTTGGCAGTCATGCTAAGGCCAGAGGGAGCTGCCAACACTTGGTAGCCATCTTAGAAGCTCACCCCCACCCTATGATCGACTGTCTGGGAGCTGCATTCTCAGTGCAGGGGCAGCAACAGTAGCTCCCTCCTTGCCAACCCTGCCTTCCTGTACCATGGCTGCCCCTGCCCCTACCAGCAATGACTAGTGCCTGGTGCTCCTGCTGGCCCTGGTGCTGGCCCTGCTGGCCCCAGCAGGCTCCCTTTGCCCAGGCCCCAGGGCAGCCATGCACAGCTGGGCCCAGGGCACTGGCTTCAGGAGGCTCTGGCCAACTCCCTCCTCCTGAACTCCCTGCTCCAGTCTGCCTGTCCCGCTGCCTCATACCCCTGACCCCCTGCCCACCCCCAGCACTATTCAAGGACATGCACATGGGAGACACAAAATAGCTTTATTTCCTGAAAAACCCTCCCCCCACAAAAAACAGATCCCCCCCCAACCTCCATGAACACTGCCACCTCCCCACCCTCCCCACACACCCACAGTAAAAAACCCATGTCCCAAACTGAAAACTACATTTAACTGTCTGACCCGCTCTCCGAGTCCTGGCGTGGGGGGCCTGTGGGGTGAGGCTGCGTAGGGCACAGACCCCAGTGTCAGGTGCTCAGCATCTTGGCCCTGAACAGTTCGCCCATGGGTCTGGGGGCTGTAGTGACTGCAGCAGGCAGTGGGCACCTGTTGTGGCGCAGGTGGCTGGTGCTCCTGCAGAGCAGGAGGTGCCCCTTCCGGCCACCTGAGTCCAGGCCCAGGAGGGCCAGCTTCCCCTAGTGGGACTGTGTCTGGAACCCTTGGCTCCTTGGTTGTGTGGACCCGGGGTAAGTGGCTGGGCCAGACCTTGATGGGAGGCAGAAGGACCAGGGCAGGGAATGAGCCAGGGGCTCCTGCAGGCAGGAAGTGCTGGAAGACCTCCTAATAAATCCCAGGCGGGAACTGTGGCAGGGTGCAGGGCAGGAGCGAGGGGACCTGCAGGGTTGGGACTGAGCACCAGGGTGCATGGATGTGCCCACTTGGGCTAGGAGGGTGTCCAGGGCCTGGCAGTCACCATCCGCAGCAACCACTGCCTGGCCCTGGCTCTTGGTCTGCCGCTCAAAGAGCGTGATGTGGCACTCCTCAAAGGCCTCCATCCGGCTCTAGTGCTCCTGCTTTGCCCACTGGAATGCCTCCTCCTAGATGACATCCTCCACCCACCATACCTGATCCTGCACTTCCTGCTCTGTAGCCACCGTCACCAGTCACTGAAGCAGGATGGTCCAGTCCTTGGTGTGCTGCTGCATGTATGGGTGGATCCAGGAAGCTCCAGCAGTAGGTGGAGGTGACCCAGATCCTGGGGCTGGTGGCCCCTCCCTGGTGTCCAGATATTGGCCCCTCAGAGGCCAGAGACAGAAGCCTTTTGTAAGAATTTGCAACACTTCAGAAATAAGATGCTCTGCACCAGGGGCTGTGCATCGCCACTGGTATCAATGCCTTCCTTAGGGATGTGAGAGGCCTATGCCCACCCAGATATGGGGACATGTGCTGCCCAACAGTGTCCCACCTCTCTCTGTGCTATGGGGTGGGACCCTGGGGCCAGGGGAGTGTAGGTGGGCTGGGCAGGGAGTGGGAGCAGGGGCTGCGGTGGGGACTGAAAGCACCCTCCCCACATTGCATGACTTACCATCTGCCTGGGGATGGTGAGGCTGGCAGCTTGGTGCGGGACTCTCCATTGGCCTTGGCAAGTAGCTGCATCTGGTGTCTGCAGACAGTGAGCCGGTGCCCAGCCAGGGGCACCTCCTGGGGAGGAGCTGGACCTGCTGGCAGCCAGCAATGTCGTGGCCAGCCATTCCTCATTTTGGGGCACAGGGGTGTGGAGCTGCAAAGCAGCTGCTGGCCAGGGCTCCCTGAGCTGCTGCTGGGCACAGCAGCCAGAGAGGTGGGTAGGGCGCTGAACAGCTGAGGGCTACTCGTCTGGGGAGGTGTCACACCCAGAGGGGTCAGGGTGGGGTCAGGGTGAAAACTGCAGGGTTGTGACCTGGTTCCCAGAGAACCAAAATGTTGGTCAGTTTCTGCATAAAGGGCATGGTCTTGCGGTCACGATCGAACTGGCAGTCATGATTGGTCATGGCCACCCACTGTACACACAAGGCCTTGACCTTCATGTGGCACTGCCATGCCAACCAGGAGTAGCCTCTCTCATGCATCCCACCCAACAGGGCATCATAAACATAGGTGGTCAAGCTGCGTGCAAACTGCCTCTGTACCTCCACACCCCCCTGGAGGACACGAGGTTGTGCACCTCCTCCTGGGCCCAGTTGGGGCCTGGGGCCCCGGGTGCTCAGCTCAGACATGCACATGTGGGCAGGGCCAGTCCTCACCGGGGAGGACTCAGTAGTGGTGCCTCCCACACAGGCTCTCTGGGCCCTTATGCAGCTGCCCCTGTGTGGCCAGCCAATACTCAAGAACATTCAGTAGTAGGGCAGGGCCAGGGCCTGGAAGCCATGCGGCAGAGGCAAGTGTGTCACAGCACATATGCATAGCTGCAAAGACATGAGTCAGTGCTGGGGGTGTGCAGGAACAGGGAGCTGGTGCTGCCCTCCTGCCACAGCCAGCCAGGCAGGAGCCCTGGGGAGCTTTGACAGCTGGGCAGAGGAGCAACAGACTGCAACCCTTTACAACACTCACCTGTGACCAAGGAGCAGCTCTGGCTAGTGGACAGGACGAGCAGCAGCAGCCTGGGAACTGGGCTCTGGACAGCCTATCTACTAGGCTGGGCAGACCCAGTAGGGAGGCCCCTGGACTACTGCGCTGTAAGACGTCTACATGTGTGTTACTGCTCAGTAACTAATCAGGCATAAATTTGATACCTGCATGATGCAGGTGTCAAATTTATGATAAAATCAGCATAAGTCCCCATAGTTACTGTGCGGTATGGGAATGGACATATAGACATGCACCCATACTGTGCAGTAATTTTGTTTACTATGAAGTAAATGCGCACATGTAGATGCACCCATTCAGTCTGCTAAGGAAAGATGTGAGTTAGGGGAAGGGATTAGGAATGCTTGCTGAATTTCTAAATAAAATATTCTTGTCATCCTCCCCAATATTTTATCAAAACACAAGCTTATTATTGGCATGATACAAGACACAGAAATAAGACAAAAACATTTCTTGCTTAGGAAGCTAGGAAGGAAGGAAGGAAGATTCCAATTTTCAGTAGAAATTATTATTTAATTGGCTGAATTAGCAGTAGTTTTCATGTCACCTTGTCTATGTAAGGAGACTGTGGGGTCAGTATATAGTTTACCAGGGAAATGAACATGAGATTGATTGGAAAATGCATGCAGTCATTATATCTACTGTATATCAACAGTGCGTGCATCTACACAAGGAGCTACAATGACATAGCATTGGTGGTCACGAACTGTGATGCTGACGCTACTCTGCAGTAGGGTCAGAAATGACCCATACACCTCTGGGACTGTGCAGTAATGGCAGTTACTGCACAGTCATTTAGTTCTTGTTAAAAAACTGCGCAGTCAGGGGCATGTGTAGATGTGCCCAGTAGATCACAAAACAACCATTTCTAACAAAACATAGTATCACTGTTGAGAAAAATGCTCCTGTTTTTATCAGTTAAGGAAGGAGGAATGTATGGTTGCTAAGAGCAATCATATCCCTACTCAACTTCTGTTGTGCTCAGCTGAACAAGCCAAGCTCATTTCACTTAATCTTCTAAGATGTATCTTTATTCTTCTGATTACCTCAGTAGCTCTATCTCCACTTGTTCCAGTCTGAATTCAACTTCCTGGAACGTGGTAGACATAAACTGGATGTGCTATTCTAGATGGAGTCTCTTTACTTCCTTTTTGCCCAATTCCAGTCTTTGTTACTTATTTTCTAGAATATTAAAAAAAAAGTATTTCCCCATCCTGAATCATGGCAGAAGAAGGGAGAAGAAGCCAGCAAAACATGGTACGCTGCCCTATCTTTATACATTTTACATTAGTATTTCCTGGATGCCAGTGCACTCTGGTTTGGGAGCCTCCTGTTGAGCATCACTGAATTATATTTTAGGATTACTATCACTCCTACCCCACTAAAACCCTCATCTTTATTTCTAGGTACAGGTCAGATATGTTTATCAAGTACAGAGAATACCTGTATTGGGATAATACCTCTTCCCTCTCAATGAAGCCATTAATCAAATGATTAAATTCTGGGTGGATTCCCTTATCCACCAGCCTAGAAGCATATTTTAAACAGTCATTGGCCAACAATCAATAAAGCTTCTTTATTTATAACATCTGACAACAGGTTTTATGTTAGTGACCAAAGCAAGATTAGTCAGACAGTAAGGACTGAAAACACTGAGAACAAGAATGATTACTCTTACCTTCCTCGTGGCAAATCTGCATCATCTTTCTTCCACCGGACTGTTGGCTGTGGATCTCCCTGGACTTGACATCGGAATTCTACCACCTCTTCTTCCAGGACCACCTGGTTAATTGGTCTCCTGAGAAATGTGGGTCGTTCTTGAAAGAAATTTTAAAAGTGATCTAGTGAGTTAGGATGGCTAAAGCTACACTTATTTATGACTTTTTACCACCATTTTGTTTACTAGTTTACTGAGTCAAGGGAAAGGAAGCTAAGGTCTAAATATCAGCAATAAGTAGAATTGATGTCAAAGCTCAGGACTAGGATGGAGGACCAGTGGCTGCCACATTATATTGTAATAGTAAAAACTGCAAAAGGATTAAGGCACTGAGACTATTTTTGTTCTTTGCTTGGATAGTAATTAGCACAGTAGGTTCTTGGTCCATGACTAGGAAAACAATTGATTGTAACTGCATCTACTATAGCTTCAAATACACAGCCTCAAGCAAGAAGGGACTACACACCCATAGGCTTAATCCAGGCAAATTCAAAGGCTAGAAAGAAACCTTCCACAAGATGACTAGAGGTCCAGGAAACATGATTTATGAGGAAAGGCTGAAAGAGTTGGGATTATTTAATCTGGAAAAGAGAAGACTAAAGGGAGATTTAATAACAGTCTTCAAATATCTGAAGGGTGTTATAAAAAGGATGGTGACAGACTATTTTTGGTGGCAGCAGAGGACAGGACAAAGAGTCTTAAATTATAGCAAGGGAAATTTAGGTTGGGTTTTGGGAAGAACTTTCTCACTATGAGAGTGTTTAAATGGAACAGGCTACCTAGAAAGGTTGTGGAACCTCCATCCCTGGAAGTTTTTAAGAACAGGTTAAACAAGCTTTTGGGTGGGATGGTTTAGTCAAGGATAATTTTGCCTTAAATGAGATGGCTTTCTGAGGTCCTTTCCAGCCCTACAGTTCTATGACCACATGTAAATGAACACTGAGGAACTCATGGCAGGAGTGGAGGGATAGAAGGGACGGCAGCATAGCCAGAAAAAAAAGGGGAAGGGGAATGGAATTACTAGCCTTCCCTCCACCCCATGTCATAAAGTGGGACCAGGTGAGTAGTCTGCACCATTCACAAGGAGACGTTTCAGCAGAGCACTCTAGCTCAGTCTGCACCAGCCCATAGAGCTTTTAAGATCCTAAGGATATGTCAATAAAGAACAGTCCAGTAGTCTTCTTACTGTGGTATCCTGCCTTGTACAATAATCAATACCTTAATGCTGGGGAGGGAAGTAAAAACTCCCTGTAGTGTACCAACACCAATTTAACAGTGTTGTAAACAGGGTCAAGTTCCTTCCTAATCTCCACTGCTAACTTCACCACAGGAAACGAAATTGTGCCTTGAATAATGAGTTCTGTTTACCCTTGCTATGTTAGTTTGCAAAGCTACAAATATTATCAATTGTCATAATATTACCCAGGCCCTTTTAAAAGCCAGACACAGAACCACAATCTGATCTCAGATGTACTGGAACAGATTCAAGATAATTTCATTTCCAGGGATGTTCAGTCTCCAAGTTGCCTCTGGCTCGCTCAAATTTGGTCCTACCCTTCTGATTCTGCCCCCACAACCTTATATTGCAGAAAATATTTAACAATCAAAGTAAAAAAAAGTCATGAAACTAAAGTTATCATAACATAAGAAGTAATTTTTGAGACCAGTATTTTAAATTTATCAGACCCTGAATTAATGCCAGTCTCATCAAGGTGAGAGATAAATGATGGCAGTGAAATTACCCCAAAAAGTGCAATGGGGCAATAAGACAAGAATTTGGCCCAGAGTTTGGCTTGATAGTGTTCTAGGGCAGTGGATATTACAGATATCTATAACACAAACAGTTCTCTTGAAAGGACATTTTAAGGTTGCGCTTAAAACTTAAGCGATGCCAAAATAAGGACTGTCTGTATAAGATTTTTTTGTCCTCATGTACATATGCATTTTCAGGATACTTTTTAACAATATGATCATATGCTATATTTTCCAAATATCACAGCATGGATTGTATTCAGTTAATTCAATATTTTATTGTAGCTTCACTGTTCAATGTGTGGCTACAGGCCTGGCTTAATTGTATATAATTTAAATCTGGCTTTAGAGAGAGAATTATTAATTTTCTCATACACTGTTCCAAGCTACAGTATACAAGTTTTTCACAATAATGCTGTATGGGGCCAGGGTGGTAATTTCTCCATTTTACAGATGGGGAGCTCAAGTACAGAGAGATTAAAGTTTTAAAAAAAACAACCTAAGCACTATTTTAGGTGCCCAGTGTCAGCTACCTGATTTTTCAGAATATTTTGCATTATGTAGCATTTTATCAGCTGAGCTCTGACTGAACTCTGGTGAGACTAAGTGCTCAGCACTTTTCTAAATTAAACTCAGAGTCTCAAGTCAAACAGAAAATAGAAATAGCGACCACCTGTTAAAAATCTGTTTATCCAGCATCACGTTTTATGGCACATGCAAGAATAGCCACTAGAGGGGGATGAGATATTTTGCCAGTGGGTTTCTCTCACAGTTTCTAATGGAAGGGTGACACTCAGGAATCTCAGGTTCCCTTCCAAATTGTAGAGGGGAAGGTTTTCTCTAGCTGACAGAATCACTTCCCAATTGTCGCAAGCTTCTGCCCTATCCATTATAAACACACACAGTCCTATTTCTTTCCCCAAAATTGGATATCTGTAACCTCCAAGTCCTGATACATTTTCTATGCCAGATAAGCCAAACCTTTTCTCCCCTTCTGTATTCCCAGGCTCCACCTGCTCCTGCCAGTGTTCTTGTTCAGGCATTCCTCCTCCCACCCCCAGTTCCACGTATTAAATTTCCTTGCTACAGTCCCCCAGGACCAGCTCTTCCTCAGGTTTTTTTTTCCACCAGCCTTGTACAACATAAACACACTTCTCTCCCTGCCCCACACCCATATCATTCATTGCAAACAGCTATTGGTCCCAGTTTCTTTGTGTGCATTCCTTGCCCATTCCCACTGTCCCTGCTATCCATTTGTCCAGCAGTCCTACCTCTCTTGGCTCTATGTGAAATTTGTCTTTTCCTCTTCTCCTCCCCTTTTCATCTGATCCTAGTGGCTCCCAGTCATAGCTTCCTTGCCTATGTTCTTGCCCTGTCAACCCTCCAACTATTTTTGTCCAAAACTACTCTCACTTCAGACATGGTATTTTCCCCCTCTGTATTGAACCTGGGCAGCTTCTTTGTCCATATTGCCTAGGTTGAGGCTGGGGCGCTGGCAGGACAAGAAAGATCAGTTCCACATGAGCCTTAAGCTGCAGCTGTGGGGAAAATCATGCTTGGGCATGCATAGGATCTTCAGAGTTTTAGCTATGTAGCTCTAGATGGTCTCTATGGATTATGTAGAAACAGTAGCTTATATGCCTTCTACCTCCATCCCCACACCTACGCAAATGCCAACTCCAACTCCATCCACATCCCTGAGCTTGTAATTTGACCTTGTTTGGACTTATTTCATAGGGAAGGTCAAAACCACATTCCTGACATGACGACTCCATCCCTGCCAATTTTCATACCTTCTTCTTAAGCATGAGGGAACTACAGCCAGAATTTAGCATGGACAATGCAACATTTCCTTAGCCTCATTCTTGGCAATATTTTGACTGAGAAAATACAAATAAAATAAATTTGAGGCAGCACAAAAAATTTGGCCTAGTTTCAAAATTTTGACCCAGAGTTTTAAGTAACAAGAGCCAAGGTCTAATGATGGAAAATGTAAGGAAACCTTAAAAATATGTGATGTTACCAGCCCTGTCTGTAATGCAATGGATCTATAAGAGAAAAGTCTCATTCTCATGATGAGAAAAAGAAAACCTTTTTCAAAATTGACTGAAGCATTTAGATCAGAATATTGCAGCTACATACATCTTACCCCAGACTCTAATCTGAATTTACACACAATTTCATAGGGATCAGCTCCAGAGGCTTCTTTTGGAACAATTTATTAAGGTAGTCCTGAGCCAATAAATTTAGAGCTGGATCGAAATGATCTAAAGCAACCTGCTCTCCCTGTGGGCTGGATAAGCAATTAGGTCAGTCTGCAGGATGGATGCAGCCTCTGGGCCCGATCAGGTGAGCAGTACTGGTACAGCCAGGGCCTGACCCAAATGTGTGAGGCTTGGATCTGAGCCCAATGAAGTCATGTGGAGCCAGCAGAGCATGACCCAGCTGCATAGCAACTGCCCAGACGAGGTCTGATCCAGTCGTGCAACAATGTCCTGTATGGGGCTGAATCCAGCCATGCAACTACGGCCTGGACAGTCCCCGATTCAGCCGTGTGCAGTGAAAGTGTGGCAGAGCCCACACTGCCAAATTTCCAGATCCATGGGGAGCTCTGTGGGTTGGATGAAATGGCTCCATGGGCCAGATGTGGCCCCTGGATTGGGGTTGAGCATTCCTGATCCAAAAGGTAAAAGCAAATGAGGTTCACTGTCCTAGTCCATCTGTGTTACGTGGGTAAAAGTAGATATATGCGTGCAACTGCACTTGTGTCTCTGTGTATGTGTTTACAAATATCCCTTTGCAAGTCATCTGTATTTTGGATGTGTATATAGTTGCATGTTTAATTAACACACAAACACTGGTGTGACTTAACACATATTTCTGTTGACACAAAATATAGCAGATGAGGGACAAAGGTTTTTAAAAAATTTAGTATTTAATGGACACCATAATATTCATTAAGTCGGCACCTGGCAGTACGTTTCCTCACAGAAGGCCAGAAAAAAATCCTAACCCACTTTGAGAGAACCTTATTTATGACGAGTCAATAAATAGCCCAAAGGTCTCCAGACAGAGCACTTGATTCTACATGAAGGCAGTTTAAATGCATCTGTTTCTTTAAGGCCCGCTTTCAGAATTACATATTTTCCACTACAGTTAAGAGTTTGCTTGAAAATAAATAACTGCATAAGTGCAGACCACAGTTATCAAGGACATGCAAATTACAATGGCTGTTATTTCCATTTTGCCATCATCTTTGCATTTTGCACAGTGTGAATCAGGAAAGAAGAAGTTCCCTCTTATGTTGTTTTCTGCATTTGTATCACTCAGGCAGCCCCCTGAATATGT